GGGCCGCGGGGGCCTCTGACTGGGCGGCGGGAGGCGGCGGGCCGGACCATGGGGAACGGAGCCGTCCGCAGCCGCCGGAGCCGGGAGCCCTGCCCGAGCCGGAACAGCGTCCCCTGCTGAGCCCCGAGCGCCGGGTGAGAGGAGGGCGCGCGCGGCTCCTCGCCCAGGGCCCTGAGATTCCAGACCCGGTCCCGCAAGGGGCATCCCGAGCGCGGCCCCGAGATCCCAGCCCAGACCCGGTGAGAGGCGCTGGCGGCCAGACCCCGGCTTGCCTTCACCCGCCCCACCCCCATCCCTCCGTTCCCCTCCTGGGCTCCTCCGCCCGCCCCCGGCCAGCCTTCCTCATTGTCCTCGCCCGCCCCGGCCTCGTGGCGCCAGGAGGCGCTCCATTCGCGTTTCCCCTTGGCCTTTGCCTCGGCCCGCGCCCTCCATCCACTCCTCCCAATCCACACCCCCCACCCCAAGCTCCACACCCACCCGGTTTCTGCTGCCTCCCCCATTCCCGGTGCCACGTGTTCAGCCACCCAGCCCCGCCCAGACGCGCCCCTCAGCCTGACCGCCAGGCTGACCCAGAGCCCCTGCCCTGAGGGAGGGGTGGGATGTTTGCACGTGGGTCTGGGTGTGAGCTGCCCGGGAGCCTGGATGTATGGCTAAGTCCGGAAGCGGTGGCTTTGTTTGTGAGTGTGGACTCCGTGTGTAGTGCCACCCGGGTGTATCTGTGACTCTATATGTAGTTCTCTGTCGGAGTGTGAGTGACTGTAACTGAGGCCCGGGTGTCCGTGTCAGTGAGTGAGGCTCCCCCTGCTCTCTGAAGCACTAGCAGAAGTGGTTGCTGCTCTGTGGAAGCCACAGCTGGAGTCATCGCCCAGGCAAAACCCCTTCCTGCCATACCCAGTGCTGTGTTCCCTCTCCAGGGCCCAAGCATCCCCTGTTCTGGGAATCAGAAACAGCTGTGCTAGGCAGGTCCCAGGGCCTTTGTCCCAGTTCCAAGGGGGCGGGCCTTGAGGTCTTGGTTGAGGGGTGTCCCCTGCCCCACCGTGTGTTTTGACCTCTAGCTCCAGTGGGAAGGCATCCCATAAACGTCCTGTGCCTATTTGGGCTCCCTGCATGCTGAGGGCCACTTCCCTGCCTGGTCCCAGTTGTCTTGGCCTGTTTGCTTCTGGGACCTGAATGACCAAACCACTTTCCACACAGCTCCTGGAAGGACTAAATGAAGTCATGAGTGTAAAGTGCTCCTGCATGGGCGTTACTCAGTATGAGGACTCCCGGCTTCCCTGAGCCATGAGTCCTGGGTTGAGGATGCTACCCTGTGGGGTGTCTGTTCTCTGGGCACAGGTGCACCATGTGGGTAAATGTGTTTCTATGCTTAGGTACGGTACAAACCAACATGATCAGAGTTCATGTGTCTGTTCTTGGAAATACATGAGTGTGTGTGTGTGGAGTTGTGCAGAAAGTGTGTACCTGAGTGTGTGTGTGTCATTGAGTTCCAGGAAGGCAAGTGTATGTGGCTTAGTAGTGGTTGTGCCTGAGGATGTGAGAGTTCTGAATTGCCAGGGACTCTGGTTATCTGTTTGCAGGTAAAATGTGAGTTCATGAGTATGAAAGGGTGAGAGCAGGTAAATGTGAGGTGTGGGGCTGTGAGTGTGAGTAGCGGGTAAGAGGTGGGTGTGCAGCTTTGCCTGTCCTGCCCTGACCTGCTGGGTCTGTTTTCCTCCCACCCTGCTCAGGCCGGCAGCCGGATGCCCGGGCCCACTGGGCGGGCCAGCGGCCGCCTGCGGGATGAGCAGACTGCTGGGGGGTACGCTGGAGCGCGTGTGCAAGGCTGTGCTCCTTCTCTGCCTGCTGCACTTTCTCGTGGCGGTCATCCTCTACTTTGACGTCTACACCCAGCACCTGGCCTTCTTCAGCCGCTTCAGTGCCCGCGGCCCTGCCCGTACCCTCCACCCAGCTGCCAGCAGCAGCAGCAACTGCTCCCGGCCCAACGCCACTGCCCCCAGCTCGGGGCTCCCTGAGGTCCCCAGTGCCCAGCCTGGTCCCACGGCTTCTGTGCCTCCACCTTGTCCTGACTTGCCACCCGGTCTTGGTGAGCCTGGAAGACAGGGCCCGCCTATGTCGGGGAAGAGGGCCTTACTGGTTTGACTGGGGGAATGGAGTCTGGACCCATGGGGGTATTAAGGGCCCAAGTCAGTTCTAAGAGGGCTATTCTTGGGCTATTCTTGGGGCCCAAGTCAGGTCTAAGAGGGCTATTCTTGAGGTTCAGGCTGAGGGGAGGGGCTGGTGTCCTTGGATTCTGGCAAGACCCTGATTTCTAACACTGTCCTGCCTGCAGTGGGCCGGCTGCTGATCGAGTTCACCTCACCCATGCCTCTGGAGCGGGTGCAGAGGGAGAACCCAGGCGTGCTCCTGGGCGGCCGTTATACACCACCCGACTGCACCCCAGCCCAGACGGTGGCAGTCATCATTCCCTTTAGACACCGGGAGCACCACCTACGCTACTGGCTCCACTACCTTCACCCCATCTTGAGACGGCAGCGGCTACGCTATGGCGTCTATGTCATCAACCAGGTGTGCTGTCTGCATGGTCCCTCTCGGGGCACTAGCCACCAAGGAACCCACATGCACCTGTGGGTGTGTCTGCTCAGAGGGGGGTGTGGGGTCCCATGTGCCCGTTGGTGTGTATGTGGGTTGGGCCATTTGTGGCTCCTTGTCTGCCCATGGTCACGTGAGTGTACATGGATGGTGTGGGGTGCACACCAATGCTTGTGTGCACAGGAATGCTTGTGTGCATGTGTGAGGGGTGTGTGTGTATGTGAATTTTGACATACACACTGATGGGTGTGTGCATATAGCCTCAGAAGGGGTGGGCCCCACTGACTACCCATGTCACTGCTTACCCCACCCTGTGGCGATACAAGCCTAGGGTATGCTGATTAGGAAGAGGTGTTGAGGATGAGGGTTACAGAACCTTTCAGCCAGGTGCTGGCCACAGCTGAGCCCCCTGGTGGGCCTGGCTAGAGCTGGCCACTGGGTCCCAGAGAAGATCTGAAACAGGCCTTCTCTGGCATAAGACCTCCTAGACTTGGACATGGATCCCTGCAGGTTCCAGCAAGATGGTGTGTGAGTGGTTGGAGCAGGGAGTTATGGGAGCACAGAGGGCCCTGGTTCAACTATGGGCTGGGAAGCAGTTGTTGAAGCGGGTCTTGAGGAGCGAACAGGCATCAGGGACTGGAGGAGGCAAGCTTTCTAGGCAAAGAATATATGGAAGACCCAGGGCCCGGCAAGAGAACTGGCCTCACTTGTTCAGGAGCTGTTGGCTGGGGTGTCGGGTCCAACATGTGGGCTGGGTAGCAAACAGGCTGGAGGAGTTGGTGGTGGCCAAGCTAAGAAGGGTCTTCGGAGATATGCTAGCCACTGAAGTCCAGCCTGAAGGTGGCTGGGCACCATTGTAAGACTATAAGGAGGGAGTGACATGTACAGAAAGATTGTCCTGGCTACATGTGGTGAGTGGATGGGAGGGAAAGATTAGAGGCAGGGTGACCAGTTAAGGAGCGATGACGGTGCCCAGGAAAGAGGTGGCGACTTTGTGGATGAGGATGAGTAGAGCAGTGGTCATGGGGCTGAAGGGGGAAACATTACGCAAGAGGTAGAGAGTGAGAAAAGCACAACGTCAAGACAGCGCAGGGTTTCGGCTGTGGCTGTGTGCTGTGGGAATGGCTGTGCCTACGAGTGAGATGGGGACACAGGAGCTGGGCCAGGTCTGGGGGAGTGTGACTCTGAATCCTCTCTTGCGTGTGATGAGCTTGAGTGCCTGTGGGAAGTACAGGAGGCATGGTTAGCAGGCAGTTAGACAAATGAGTCTGGACTGAGGATAGAGTCTGTGATGAAGACAGGGATCTGGGAGCCAGGATGTAGATGGTCCCAGAAACCAACAATGTCCCACCTGCCCAGGGAGTGAGGGACATGAGAATAGAAAGCCAGCACTGAAGGAATGAGTGGAGAAGGAGGCTGTTACAGAGGCTGAGAGGATTGGCCAGAAGGGTCGGAGGAGACCCAGGAGAGTGTGGTATCCCGGAAGCCCAGCAGTCAGTCAGGAAGGAAACATGGCAGCTGCATGAACACTGTGGGGGAGTGAGGAGGGATGTGGACCAAGATGCGTCCAGTGGATTTAGCAACAAGGTGGGCCCAGCGAGAGCCATTTCAGGGGCATGATGGGGGCGGAAGCAGATTGCAGTGGGTTGAAGAAGGAATCGGATTTGACGAAATGGAAATAACCAATTGGAGACAACTCTTAAAAAAAATTTCTGCCAAGAAGGGAAGGCAAAAGGTAGGGTGATAACTGGAGGGAGGTTTTGGTTGGGTTTTTTTGTGGGGTTTTTCTGCCCCAGATGGGAGGGAATTTGATATGTTTATGAGCCATGTGAGAAAAACCTAGGGCTCCTGGCTGGTGAGACAGGTCAGAGAAGTACTGGTGGGCTGGAGAAAATGGACCAGCCCCCCGAGGGCTGGTGAAGAGCAGGTGCAGGAGAGGGAGGGAAGAGAGCAGGGGCCTGGGCAGGTTGGAATTCCAAAGCGGAGCACCTCCTGCCCAATCAGGCTCAGGCTTAGCTGGTGGAGTGGAGTGTCTGCTGTCTGCTTTTATTCCAGAAGAGCCCACTAGCAGACCCCTTTTCCAGGTGCCTTTCTGGCTCTAGCCTGGGTGGGTTGGGACAGGAGCTAAGGGTCACCTCCTCCCATTGAATGCTTCCTGCTCTGTCAAGAATTTTGTGCTTAGGCCTGAACGGCCAGGATCCCTGCAGCTCCATTTCTCAGGAAATCCCAGCCTCACTGGGCCATGACTCCTTGTAGGCCTCCTGCTTGCCATTTGGTTGGGGAGACAATAAAATGGGTCTAGTCCAGTCCTGTCCTGTACTCAGAGGCTGCTCAGGGAGTTAGACATAGTTCCACAGGAGCTAGAGGTGGGCAGGTGCCTGAAGCCCAGTGGCTCAGTTTCTATGTCTTCTGCATCTTAGATACTGGTCTTTTGGGACATTTGTTGTTTGTCTCACTTCATGACTGTATACTCAATGGGGATAGGAACCAGGGCTGCTCGTCTCTAGAATCCCTACTGGCACAAAGGAGAGGACCACAGAATGTGGCTGAATGAGCAATGAGGTTAGAGCCCCCATAGAACTCTTTAAATGGATATTGGCATCAGTGAGGTCCTAGGAAGGAAGGAGCAAGTATACTAGGGCAGGCAGGTTTGGTCAGGGAAGCCTTTCTAGTGAGTTTGACAAGCAAAGAAGAGCATTCCAGGCAGCGGGTACTGATAACCCCAAGGCCTGGAGGCAAGAAAGTGTCTGGCATATTCTGGGGCTGAAGAATGTAGTGTAGCTAGGCCTTAGGATCTGAGGGCAGTGGCCAGAAAGAAAACTGGAACCAAGTCATGAAAGGCCTTTGAATGGCAGATCCAGGATAAGAAGCTGGACTGGAACCTGAGAGTCTGGAGGAGTCATGTAAGGATGGGGGCCCTGGGTAGACCCCCAGGGACTGTTCTAGAGAGTAGTAAAGTGGCAGGTGCTTGCTGGTCACGGGCCCAGAGCTGACCTTCCCCCTCTCCCCACTCTCAGCATGGTGAAGACACCTTCAACCGGGCCAAGCTGCTCAACGTGGGCTTCCTAGAGGCATTGAAGGAGGATGCTGCCTATGACTGCTTCATCTTCAGCGACGTGGACCTGATCCCCATGGATGACCGCAATCTATACCGCTGCGGTGACCAGCCCCGCCACTTTGCCATTGCCATGGACAAATTCGGCTTCCGGTAAGGGCTCTCTTAGCTAGACCCAGACCTCCCTGCCTCCACCACACCCAGGCCCTCACTCCCAGTCCCAGTGCCCCTCTGGCTCCTGGCTCCTGGCCCAGACCCCTCTGACTAGACTGTATCCACCCCTGTTCCCCTGTCCCCCTAGTTCCACATTCTTCTCCCATCCCATCTTTGGTCTTTCATCTTGAGTCCTCTAGGACCCTCACTGACTCCTGTTTTCCCATGCCATAGGCTGCCCTATGCTGGCTACTTTGGAGGCGTGTCAGGCCTGAGTAAGGCCCAGTTTCTGAGAATCAATGGCTTCCCCAACGAGTACTGGGGCTGGGGTGGTGAGGATGATGACATCTTCAACAGGTGAGTAGGGATAGGGTGGGGAGTAGACTGGTGGATGAGGGTGTGAGGTACAGACTGGGTGGGGCTCCTTGTGGGGCTCCTTTCTCTTCCTGGTTCCTACCATAGTCCCTCTGTCCCCATCCTCAGGATCTCCCTGACTGGGATGAAGATCTCACGCCCAGACATCCGAATAGGCCGCTACCGCATGATCAAGCATGACCGGGACAAGCATAATGAGCCCAACCCTCAGAGGTGACCCACCAGCACCCCTTTCCCCAAGGGCTCTAACCCCTTACTCTGCAGAGGTGACTTCCTGGTATTCCTGGTATCCTCAACTCTTGATCCTAAGTTTCTCAATCTCTGACCCTCTAGAGGTGGCCTCCAGGCATCCTTGAGCTCTGAGAGGTGACTCTCAATGCCACTGGTCCCCAGAGGTGACTTCCAGCACCCTAGTCCATGTCCCCCAACCCCCAGCTTGACTTCAGCCCCAGGTATCTATCACTCACTCCTGGCCTGATTCCTAGAGGTGACTAGAATCTAAAGTCAGGGCTTAAATTGTCACCTCACTTATGTACCTCATGTGACCCTTGCTTCTACTAGCCTGCCAGAACTGATAGGACAAGAGATAGTGGACACTGGGCACAGCTCCTGGGGACCTAACAAAAGTATCCTGAGCAGCATGGGGTGGGGTAGGTTGAGGAAAGACAGTGCCTACCCTCAGAGTGGAGAAGGGTCACTTAGAAGATAGCCACGTTTGGTGTCTGGTACTGACTGGGAGAAGATCTAAAGGGTATGAAACATTGACAAGGGCTTCTTGGGATTCCTGAAGCTTCTCTGTGACTTGTGCCAAATATTCTAGAGACAGGGACCCACAGCAGTCATGCTCAATTCTTGCTCTCTCTCATGAAGCTCAATCAAGGCAGGGGACTCAAGTCATGGAGACAAACGGTTAATAGCATAAGGTGACCAGGGCAAGGTGCTGTCCTAGCAGAAGAGGGAGTGGTGGACGCCTTCTTGGAGGAGGTGATAATAAACTGGAGTTTGAAAAGAGTCATTTAACAAGTATTTGTCTCATACCTACCTTGGGCTGTTCATCAGGCTAGTGGAGAAGGCCAGTTTATAAATGAAATCATGTTTGTAAGTTTGGAATGTGAACATGCATGGTATATACTGAGAGTCTTAAACTATTTGGTTTTAAGACCTCTGGGGAAGAGTGGTGATGGAGGAGTCAATGCTGAGTATTAGGGGTCTTGAATAACTTTTGTCTCAGAGAGATTGAAAAGTCATGGAAGAGCCTTTTTTTTTTTTTTTTTTGAGTTGGAGTCTCACTCACTCAGTGCAGTGGCACGCTCATGGCCACCGGAGCCTCGACCTGCTGGGCTCCGGCGATCCTTCCGCCTCAGCCTTCCAAGTAGCTGGAACTACAGGCGTGTGCCACCATGCCTGGCTAATTTTCCACATTCTTCCCCCATTTATGTTGCCCAGGCTAGTCTCAAACCCGTGGGCTCAGGCAATCCTCTCGCCTCGGATGCCCAAAGTGCTGGGATTACAGGTGTGAGCCAGTGCACCCAACTCATGGAAGGGCTTTATCCAGGGAGAGGCAGGATCGTACTTGAGTTTGGAACTTGAGGAAGGTGGAGGGCTAGCCTAGCTGCTGGGTGGAGTGGGAGAGGAAGTCATCCAAGCCAAAGGGGCATGCTGGGATAAGGATCAGGAGTGGGGTGCTGTGTCCCCAGCTTGAACAGTAGGGTTTTTCTGCTCTGAACCCAGGGTATAAAAATGAGGGAGAGGGATTGCAGCATTGATGTGGGGTTGATGTTTGGCAGAAGTGTGAGGCACTGGGAAGTCCAGGGAGCCTATGAAAAGGAGATTCAGATAGAAACTATGGTCAGCCTGGGTGCAGTGGCTCACGACTGTAATCCCAGCACTTTGGGAAGCCAAGGCGGAAGTGTCACTTGAGCCCAAGAGTTCAAGACCTGCATAGGCAGCATAGCAAGACCCCATCTCTACAAAATAATAAGAAAATTAGCTGGGCATGGTGGTGCTTGCCTGTAGTTCCAGCTGTTCTAGAGGCTGAGACAGGAGGATTGCTTGAGCACAGGAGATCAAGGCTATGATTGTGGCACTGCACTCTAGTCTGGGTGACAGAGCAAGACCATGACTTTAAAAACAAAACAAAATGAAAAACCATGGTCATCAGGGAAGGGATGACAGACTGGAAAGGAGGGGCTTTAGGGCATTTGAGGGAAAGTGCTCCATACTCAGTGGCTCAGGAGAGGGATCTGAGCTGAGCCCAGAAGAACTGAGAGGATCAAAACAGTTGGGGTAAGGGTGGGAGTGGAGCTTTACAAGTACATGCCAGGAGCCTTGGTCCTGTTTCAGGAATAGCTTGCTGGGTGCCGTGATCAACTAGTGATGGTCTGTCTGCCTTGGGTGTGCAAATGGCAAGGTAGCAAGAAATTTCTGGCTTAAGGAACCCTGTGGATCATGGTTCTGTCTACATAGTTGTTTTTGCTTCTAGTCCAGGAGTTCTAGATTCTGCTTTTCCTCATCCTACATATCCAAACCATCAGGATATCATATCAATGCCACCCCCTAGAACATATTTGAGCCTACTCACTTTCCCCCTTTACTGCCTTTATACCAGTCTGACCTCTGGAACCCTACCTGGGCTGCTACAGTGACCTCTAAGTCATTTCCCTCCTTTTTCCTTGCCCATCTATGGTTCATAGCCCACCCCCACATTGGGTTAAAAATCCCTCAGTGCCTTCTTACTCACAGAATAAAATATGAATTGCTTGCTCTGACTTACAGAGCCCTGCCCATATACAGTATACTCTAGCCTCAGAGCTAACCTTACTCCCAGTTTAGGGTCAGCTAAACTGGCCTACCTGCTGGGTGGAGCGGGAGTGGGAGCATTGACCTTGAGATACACAATATTAAAACAATTTGCAGCTCATCCACCACAGACACTGGCCCCTACCCTCTGTTTCACAGGCCATAACTATAGCTTTAATTAGACAAGAGACTGGTTTCAGTCATTTACTCCTGATGAGACCACTGTCCTTGGACTGGTTCTGGCCAGTTTACAGAGGTGGCGTGTACTCTGACCTTTGTCTGGAGTGCTCGTCCCCCGACCCTCAGCTCAGTGTCACGTACATGTCTCCCTTAGCATTCTGATGCCTCCCCTAGAGAAGCTGCTTGCCCTGAGAGGAAGGACCCTGTGTTTCCTGGCCATGGGTGTAGCCCTGGTGCTTAGAGCGCAGCCTGGCACATGGGGGTGTTCAGTAAGTGAAGGAGTCACTAAAGCATGAACAGAGAAGATGGCACAGGCTTGGGGAGTAAGGATGATGCATTTGATGCAGAACACATTGCATTTGAAGTACCTGTGGGATGCCTCATACCTGGGTCTCAGGCTTGGAAGGAAGGTCTGAGTGCAGAGATTTGTGAGGGTGTCACAACTGTGTTTTCTGGCTGAAGGTGTTGAGATCTCTGTTTTGAGGGCAAATGCAAGAGCAAAAGGGCTCCTGCCAAGTCACCTCTGGAAGGACCCAGGATGGCTTAAGCCTTAGCCCTGAGATCTCATATTGGGTTTGGTGTTTTTTGTTTTGTTTTGTTTTTGGATTAGAAAATATAGTTTATTTAATAGTAAATTAGAGAGAGAAAGCGAAAGAGAAGGTTCACATCCCCAAGATAGGGAAGGAGGCCAAAACCAGGAAACAGGGCCTGACCATAGCTCAAAGAGCACATGGCCACACCATGGCTTAGCAAGGCAGTGGCAGTGGCAATGATCTAGCAATGACCATGTTTGGTGTTGTTAACTTAAAAATCACAAGCAGGCAGGCACTTCAAGGGAAAAAGGGATAAGACAGGAATTTAAGTTGAATGGGTTGATCAACAGGTTACAGGAGAAGCTTATGAATATTCATGAAGGCAATCCTGATGCATGCTTATTGAGCAAACATGCATGTTACATACCATCCATATTTAAATGTATTACAGTTAAAGCACTATATATCAAAAGGTCTTTTCAGGACGCAGATGCTCAAGTGCACAGCCTCTATAAACCACCCAGATCCAGTCCGTGGTTGGTGGTTATCAGGAGTGAATTACTGAAATCAGTCTCTTGGCCAATCAAAGCTATAGTTATGCTTGGTGGAACAGAGGGTAGGGGTCAGTGTCTAGCAGTGGATGAGCTGCAAATTGTTTTAATAATTGGATATCTCAAGGCCAATGCTTGTTTAGCTGCTAGTGAAAAAGAAAAACCTTGTGGCAGTTAGAACAGAGATTTTTGTTGTTGTTGTTTTTGAGTTGGAGTCTCTGTCGCCCAGACTGGAGTGCAGTGGCACACTCCCAGCCACCGCAGCCTCGACCTGCTGGGCTCTGGTGATCCTTCTGCCTCAGCCTTCCAAGTAGTCAGAACTACAGGCGCACGCTACCACACCGGCTAATTTTTGATTTATTGTAGAGATGAGGTCTTGCCAAGTTGCCTGGGTGGGTCTCGAATCCGCAGGCTCAGGCAATCCACTCATCTCAGCCTCCCAAAGTGCTGGAATTACAGGCTGAGCCACCAAGCCTCACCTAGAACAGAGTTTATTCTTTAAAGTGTAGGGTTATGACTTAACCCTTGCCTGGTATGGCCCTAGGTCCTGTTTATGATTTGGTATCTTATTGCCACAGAAAGTCCATCAGTCTTTCTGTATTTTGACATTAATGCTGGTTAGTTGTGTCTCAATCACAAAGGGGTGGGAGTATAACAAGGCATGTCTAACCTTCCCATCATGACCAAGGATTCAGTTTTTAAGGTTTATTTGGGGTCCCCTTGTCTAAGAGGGAGGTCTGTTGAGGGTCTTAGGATTTTACTTTTAGTTGACAGTGGTTGGCCCTGATCCAGACTATTTCCATCCTATCTAGGTTTACCAAGATTCAAAACACGAAGCTGACCATGAAGCGAGATGGCATCGGATCAGTGCGGTACCAGGTCTTAGAAGTGTCTCGGCAACCACTCTTCACCAACATCACAGTGGACATTGGGCGGCCCCCATCATGGCCTCCTCGAGGCTGACACTAATGGACAAAGGCTCTCTGTGCCGAGGATTGCCTGCCAGAGGACTGACCTACAGCCTGGCTGGCAGCTGCTCTGTGGGGGATCCCCAGGACTTTGGGCTTTGTTTTCTGAGGGTCTTCAATAGGCCCCCAGCTACACCTGAAAGTTTCAGAACCCACTTTGGGGGACTTCCTGCCTGGGCAGGACCCTCAAGTGTGGCCCTCACTCCTGCCCCACTCCCCCCAGGCCAGACCCAGTCACTGGCAGGGTCGGGCCAGCCCCTGCACTGCCTCGCGGAGTGGCTAGGTCACTCCACCTCTCTGTGCCTCAGTTTCCCCCCCTTGAGTCCCCTAGGGCCTGGAAGGGTGGGAGGTATGACTAGGGGGCAGTGTCTCTTCCAGGGGGAATTCTCAGATCTGGGGAACCCCCTTGTTCCCAGGGGAGGGGAAACCTTTTTCATTCAACATTGTAGGGGGCAAGCCTTGGTGTGCCCCCTGCTGAGGAGCAGCCCCAGTAGGGGACCAGAAGGGGTGCTGTGTCCTGCCTGGGATCTTGGAGTTGGCCTTTGCATGGGGGAGCAGGTGAGGCTTGGATCAGTCAGTCTGGTTCCCGCCTCCCTGTCTCAGAGAGGAAGCAGAAGCCCCAGGGCCGGCTCGTGTTTGTACATTGCACAGAAACTTGTGTGGGTGCTTTAGTAAAAAACGTGAATGGAGCAGCCCCCCTGTCTGTTTGGGGATGGGGATCTGAGTCCCTGAACCTAATTACCCTGAGTGTGTTGTAGTGGAAGAACACCTGGCCCAATATGTAAACCTGGCTCTCTAAGCACCGCCACTCCCTAGACTTCCACAGGCCCTGGGAAAAAAGTTCACCCTGCCGCTGCTCCAGGCCAGTCGAGGCAAGAAGTAATAAACCTAGTGGGCACAGATTTCTCAGTTCTTATGCTTCCCCGAGGCCTAAAGGTGCCCAGGAACAAGCCCCAGGTGCTTGGGTCAGAGCTCTGGCTGGTTCCCACTCCCAAGCACTGCCCGCCCCCGCGGCGAGGCCGGACTCCCAGCCCGCGCGCGGGACCTCCTGGGGGCGGGGCCTGGGGTCGCGGCGCGGTTTCCCGGGTGACGGCCGCGCGGAAGAGGTGGGGCTAGAGCCCTGGTTCCCATGCCCGGCTCCTGGGGCCGTGGCCTGGAACCGCGGCCTCCGAGCGTCTGAGAAGCGAGGCAGAAAAAAGCAGGAGAGACGGGCGGCTCCGGATGGGTCATTCCTGCCGTGAGGACCGGCGGCACAACGCGGGGGGGGCGCGGGGGCGTGGCCCGGCGACCGGCGCTCTGGCCGTAGGTCCGGCGTTCCGACCGGTTGCCGCATAGGTCAGAGCGGGGGACTGCGGCGCGGGCGGGCCATGGCCCAGGACGGCCCGTCGCTGTGGGAGCTGGTGGAGGAGCACGTTCCGCTCCAGGAGCGGCCCGAAGTGAAGAGGTTTCTGGGGGAGGCGGCGGTGGACCTGAGCCTGGAGCTGCGGGCGGAGGTGGGGAGTGGGAAGGTGGGCCACGTCCCAGGCTCCTGCCCCGCGTCCTGAGTGATTTCCCACCTCCTCCGGGTCCTGGCCCTGCCCAGTAACTCCCGATCTCGAGTCTCACAGTCCGACCTCGTCGACTCCGCCCCACCCCCTCCTCCCAGCCCTTTCCCGACTCCCGTCACCTGCCTCCACAGTCGCAATGTGCCCCAGCTCTCCTTGCAGGTGGCCATGCTACAGACGCTACTCCGAGAGGCTCGATCCTCCCAAGCACCCAGCTCACGCCCCACCTCTGACCCCTCCTCGCTTCTGGCACCACCTCCCTTTCTACGGGACCTCGTGCGCCAGGAACTCCAGCAGCTGCTCAGGGGTCTCCACCACAAGGCCATCTGCGAGGGCAGGTGGGAGCCTCATGCCTGGGCCCCTTCCCTAGCCATTAGGTGGGCTAGCCCTGCCCCTGACAACGAGCTAGGGTCACCTTCCCTGTGGTTTCCGGAAAGGAGGCTCTCGACTTCCTTCATGTGCACCTTCTGCAGGGACCAGGCCCAGGCTTGGGTCCAGTATAGCCCCAGGGTCCTGCGCTTTGCCTTGGAAGAGCCCAGATGTGATTTGCCAGAACAGGAGAGAGTCCAGATGAGAGCTGGTGAGCCCAGGTAAAGTGGTGGCAGGAGAGGAGGGATCTGCCCCTGCTTGCAGAGGGCCCCAGTCAGGTGGAGGATTCCACCTGGCTTCATGGAGGAGCTTCCAGTCAGGCTGGACACTTTTACAGCTGTTAATACTTGTGATAGAGATCAGCACCTGAGGGCTCCAGAAACCCAGAGGAGACATCTGCACAGGCAAGGCTTCTTGAAGAAAGTGACTGATTTGATCTGGGTATTGTATGAGGAGCAGTTTCCTAGCAGATGAAAGAGAGCTTTCGAGCTTTGCAGGAAAAGGGAGGCAAGGAGGCCATGTCCTGCAGGCAGTTGTTCCTCATGCTTGGAGAACAGGAGCAAGAACCAGGCTAGAAAGACAAGGAGGGCAGCAAATGGTATTTACAGCTGGGACTGAATGACATAAATGTGAGAAGTGGACTTATTCTAATCCTTGCCCAGCCCTAGGAGGTGGGCTCCATTTTGCATGTGAAGAAACTAAAGCTCAGAGGATAAGCGATTTGCCCGAGGCCACACACAGTGAAGGGTGACAGAGCGCATTTGCAAACCCAGGCTCCCAAACCATTTCTCTTTGCACTATATTATGTGCCTTCTTAAGAAAGGCCACACAATTGTCCAGAAGTGGTGTTTGTGTCCTGAAGGCCTGGGGTGAGCAACATGGGAGAGTGATGTTGACTTCATCTGTCAGCAGCAGTCACAGGGACCTCAGCATCATCAGGGACCAACTGAACGTGTCCAACATTGACCAGGTTGCAAGACGCCTGAGGTGAGGCCCAGAGGCACCTGAGTATAGGTGGGGGAGTGGAGACAGGACAGGAGACAGGGATGGATCCTGGGGTGCTGGGACCGAGAAAAAGGAGAGCTTGTACCTGGCAGGGAGACCCATGTGTGTAAGGCTGCGAGGTGGAAGGAGTGGTTGCTGCAGAGCTGGTGAGGTTGCTCCCAGGAAATAGCTAAGTCCGGATGCTCGCAGGGGCCATGTCCATAAGACACTTATCCTGACATGAGGGTAGCCACGGAGCGGTTTTAAGCAGGGAAGGGATATGACGTGGGGGAAGATGGGGGCAGGAAGGGTCACAGGCCCGGTACAGTAACACAGAAGAGAAGATGGTGCTGCTGGGGTGGGAGAGGAGCAAGGAGACTGGCGAGGGCCGGAAGTCTGTGCCGGGGCAGCCCCCAGGCAGCAGAGGGCCTTGTGGGCTGAGAAAGGAGGGGCTGGAGGGGACTGGGACGCCTGGTGAGGTTGGAGGTTAGGGCCGCATGGCAGGCTCAGCTGAGACGTGGGCCTGCGGCCCTGGTTCTGGCTGCCGTGCTCCCTCATGTCCCAGGGGCCTCCTGGAGGAGGAGTGTTGCAGCTTGGAGAGGGAGATCACCATCCTGCAGGTGAGCTGCAGCCCTGGGCCTTCCCCCAGAACCTCACCGCTGGGCGCAGACACACACACTTTTCACCTGGGTGTATGAGACCCATGTATGTGTGTGTCAGTACAGATATGTGTGAATCCTGTCTTCTCATGTGTGCACACTGTGTGTGTGAAATACTAAAACTGCAGATTCCAGGATCCTGGTTGGGCCCTTGGGTCCAGGCTCAGCAGTTTTAGATTAACCAGCTGGATTGGCCCCAGGTCTATTGCCTCCTTCCTTTACCCAAGTCTGGGTGCAGGCCCAGCCACTATCTCGCTAAACTCAGCAGTGCTGGTGTTCCTTTGGATGGCTGCCCTCATGATGGTTGGGTTGAGGGGGCTGCATGGGCTTGATCCTGGGACCTGAGGAGTCCTGGCCTCGGTATCCTGCCCTGCCTTAAGGCTGAGCACTGACCCAGCTCTCCTGCAGCGCTCCCTGGCAAAGGAATATATGCAGCCTTGCCACCCCTCCGAGGCAACCCTGAAGCCCACCCTGGCAGGTGAGGACCCTTAGCAAGCCCGAGAACCCCAGCCCTGCACTTGTGCATACCCTAGAAGAGTTGGGCACTGAGTCTCAGCTGTACCTCTCCTTCAGAGCTGAAGGAACAGAAGAAGGCCATGGAGCAGGAGCTGCAGGCATCTCTGGGGCCTTCCTGTGTGTCTCCCAAGCACAGGTAACCAAAGCAGGAAGACGCCGGGTAGGGTCGGCTGAAGGGTTGGGTCATCATTCTCACAGTGACTCCTTCCTATCCAGGCAGCTGCCCTTGGGATCCTCCACTCAGGGCCTCAGACCCTTTCCCTGCCTCCACGGGGCTGCTGGCTTTTGGACCACACCTCTGCAATGCCGCCCACCTGCACCTCCTTTAGGGCGCTGCCCCCGACCTCCAGGCCAGGTCACCACCCGTCGCTGGGGACGGCAGCTTCAGTGCAGCCCCAGGGAAGGGCCATCTTCCACATCAATGTCCAGTGTGGCTCCCTGGGCCGGAACCTAAAGGTCTGGTCACAAAGCAGGTTTCTGCTTCTGCCAGAACCGGCCACATCTGCTGCCGCCTCTCACCTGCAGTGGCCCAGCTGACTTCAGATCTGGTCTTGGTGAGCCCTCACTAGGACCCCAAGGCAGTTCGCCTGTCCAGCCCTTGTTTCACCCCCTTGCCAGGTCCCTGGTATCTGGAGCTGAGTGGCCAGGCATCTGTCTCAATCGTCAGAGCCTTTGGCCTTTCTCCTCTCAGGCCTCCACAAAGGCCTGGCAGACAGAGGTCCCATTCCAGCCCTGACTCTTGTCCCTTGGGGGACTCAGACAAAGCACAGCAGCAGCTCAGAGACAGGAATAGAAATTTCATTAAAATCTATGGACTTTAAAATCCTAGTGGTGCATGGATGGCAGGGGTGGGCGGCGCACCGTTATTGCTACAGAGGATTAGAGGCGGCTTGGCCGGGACTGTCACTGCACAGAGAATGGACAGACACTGCGGGACTTGAGAGAAGGAACTCTGGCTCCAGAGAGGGGTTGGGGACACGCGGGCTGGGGCCATTTGGCACGTGAACAGGGACAGCACGTTTGGAAAGACTGGACCTTTAGCCTGGTGGAGGGAGGACAGGGGGGTTGTCGTGCAGGGTCCCCCTTCCCCAGGGTTCTGGGCTCAAACCTCCTATGGAGCAGCTCCCACCCCTGTTCCCCAGACACGAGTGCTTTGGGCAGGCTGCTGGGTCACGGACCTCTGCTGGCTGGGCCTGACAGCCAGGGCTGGAAAGAGGGGCAGAGACCCCAGAGCAACAAGTGAGGTGCAAGCAGGCCTGGAAGACAGATTGGTCCCGACACTGGGGGCGAGGGCGTGGCAACCACAGATAATACAATTCTTACAAAAATAATTACACAGATAAACAGGGCTGGGCAGTACAGCCTGACAAGTAACACTGCACAGCCCCCTAGCCCCTCACCCTGCCCCCAGGTAGGTAGATCCAGATTTGCCTGGGCAGAGGCTAGGGTCTGCTCTGAGGGTAGGAACACTGGTCACAGGGCTGGAGGCCCAAGGAGGGAAACGGCTGGGGGCCCACCCAGAACTGGCAGCTCAGGGCAGAGTGTGAGGGCATCAGAGGCTGCGTAAAGCCACACAAGCCACTGGGGACCTGGCCTGAGACCCCTCCAAAGTGCTTTGAGCCCCCTAGCAACCCTCCCCTTTCGCCCCCACCCCCAGCTGCCATCTTGACATCCAAAGGACGTGTAAACACTGGGGACACGAGCACGAATGACCGCATTAGCAGTAGTGGCCAAGGTGACAGCAGCCGTCCTGGCCAGGGCATGGCAGGGGGCAGGCGGTGACACCTGTCCACTGCCTCCCCAGTCTCTGTGGTGGGAGCACGGGGTGGGGATGGGGCCACTCCCCTGGAAGCTGTGCTCATATCCGGGAGTCCTGGAGACGGCTGGAGCCGTTACTGCCCACGATGGGGATCTGGGCCTTGTCCGGGTGCAGTGGCTGGACCTCGAACCCATCTTCAGGAGAAGGGGCTATGGTGGGGGCATAGCGCCCAGTTCGGTGCTCCAGGAGGGCAGGGCCCCAGTCTCTGCTTGGCTTTGTGGCATTTTTCAAACGCTGCACAAGAGGTAGGCACATGGGGGCAGGGTGCATCAGAAGGGAGCCCTTGAGGCCCATCCATCACCCCTTCCCGTTTCACCTGCTGCCCAGCCTGCTCCCAGCCCTCACCTGGAGGAGGGTGTCCCCTTCTGTGCGGCAGAGCTGGAACAGGGCGTAGAATGGAATGCAGAGGACGGAGGACAGAGCCATGAGGAAGCCAATGGCCACAGCCCAGCCTGGGTACTGGTAATGGTTGTAGGTGATTGGCCGGTACTGGATCACCGTGAAGACCAGAATAAACTACAAGGGGCGGAGTGGGAGTGGGCGTGAGGCCCGCCCAGAGCCTCTCCCAGACCCTGGGTATCTCTCCTTTCGGCACCCCTCCCTCTCCTGTTTCCCAGACCAGAAAGGCATTGTGGGTAGGGCAGAGGCAACTGCCAACATCTGGGCAATGGAAGAAGTGAGCAGAACCAAAGGTCCGGGCCACGGTGAGCAAGAAGGCACCCCGGAAGGGGAGAGCTCTGCCTTCGCAACAGTCCTGCGCTGGCCAGGGAACGGGCAAGCTGCTGCTGCCTTTGGAAGTCAGTTCTGTCCAAAGACTGGCGATCTTGTTGCCGACTGAAGTAAGGCCAAATCACTGGCCCTTCGGCCCTCACCTTGCAGCAGGACCTCAGCTTGTTTTGCTGGCCACAGCACCCCTGCCTCAACCTTTCCATTCCACCCAGCATCACATACCCTCTCTTCATCTATCCTAGGGATCATCCTCTGTCAAACCCTACACCAATGCCCCGTCCTTCAAGAAGCCACCCCAGATTTCCCGTGTCCTTCTAAAAGGCCTCTCATGGGCATCTTCCATCTGCTTCCTTAGAGTTACTTTGTCTAATGTTTCCCATAGCCCTGGGAGCTCCTGGGATTGCATCAGCTCTGGGTCTCCAGTGCACAGGCCAGCGCTCAGCACAGTCTCGTGTGTTCATTTGATTTGTGCAGAGAGGTGGTGGGGGGAGAGATGGGGAGAGGGTAGGGTGAAGCCCTGCCTGTTTGTGGCTGTAGAGACAGTGACATTCAGCCTGGGGAGACTCCGAAGGCTAGAAATGTGTTCAGGCCGCACTTGCTCTGGGGAGCCTCTGTGGAAAGAGATGAGCATGATGGGAGATAAAGCTTGTGCCAGCCAGCAACATAAGAGGCAGGGCCACCCAGAGGGCAGCTTGCCAGAAGAGCTCAGCATCCTCCTCCCGGACCTTCGGCAGCTCCCGGAGCTCAGGCTCCTCCGGCATTTCTTGTGACCAAATTCTAGAATGCAAAACCTGCATCATATCAGGGGACACCCTCTTGGGCCGCTGCACACAGTGGGAGCTTATAACAAGTTTCCGGAATGGAACTGATCCCCATCTATGTGTGGACAGATCCCTTATTGGAGCTGACGGAAAGGTGGAGTTTGTCAAAAAGAGCTTCTCAGAAACATAAAGGAAAGTTGCCAAGGAAGGCATGACAGCTTAGAAACATGCGTCTACAGAGCCTAGAGTCCTCCCCTTAAGGAGACCCCAGCCTGGCTTCCTGGGCTCAGAGAGGGCACTGTCCACTTCGCCTTGACCTCATGGAGACACCAGATCCAGGCCGAGGCGGCCCCTGCAGGTTCTTGTGCCTGTCTCCTTGCTGCCTTCTGCTCTTGGCAGGTGCCCAGGTCTCCCCCCTGGACAGTGGTCTGATCTGAGTGCCAGAAGCACCCTCCCTCTTCCGCACCCCCAGCTGTGGCAGCTGACCTCACCTTGGGCCACAGCCCCCAAGGACACGGCGCTAGTGGTTGTGCTCGCCTTCCCCGGCCTCCTTGGCCTCCCACTACTGACAGGAGACTTCCGCTCCTCCTGTTTCAAAGCTGGGCCAGTGGCCAGAACTGGTGTCTGTGCCAGGCTTGGGAATGTCCCACATCCCATGTGGTGGAGTCCTTGGCTCCCCATGGGCCTTTTATTCAGAAACACGCGCCACAGTGCAAGTCTGGTGCTGGGACCCCTGTGGCACTGAGGAATTGAACATGACAGGAGTATGACTCGGGACGTTGCCCTTGCCACGGGGTCAGCCCTCACACTGCCACTCAGAGGTGGCCCTGCCTCTTCTCTGTGGAGTGACCCGTTCTCTCCCGGCTTCCCACCCTGAGTAGAAAGGAGCCAGCTCATATGGTTTTAGCCCAGGGACTGTTCATCTCTCCTGCAGGAGTGCTTCTAGTGTAGCACTGGGCACACATGCAGCCTCTGAATTGTACTACCCAATCTGAATTGTGGCTCTGCCTCTTATTAGTGACTTATCGCTGTGTCTCAGTTTCCTCATCTGTAAAATGGGAATGACAATTGCTCCTTGGAGAGTTGTATTAAAGTTACATATGAAAAGGGTGCAGAAGTGCCTGGTTTCTTGCCATGGTGTAGTCCTTAGTTCAGCTCCCTGATGGGAGTTTCCCAGCTGTTGAATATTCATGAAACCAGGAACTCCCCCTCCCAAGCCAGCCCACTTCACTGCCAGGCGGGCTTGCCCTCAATTCCCCCAATGCAGAGTTGGCATTTGGCTCCTACGGTTTGCAACTTACAGGTCCTGGGGCTGCTTGTGGAACACCCACACATTCCCACCACACACACAGCCAAGCCCCTTGGGCACCTCCTCTATGAAAGATGGGAGATGAGATCAGCGAGGCAGACAGAGGCTGACACTGATATCAATATTGACTCCTGAGGGCCCTGAGGGGATGCCAGGTGGGAGCACCAGGAGGGGGAACTGACTCACTCGAGCTGCTGCCAGCCGCTCTCTCCTTCCAAGCCTGGGCAATGTCTTCAGTCAAATACAGGCTCAGCACTCCTTTCCCAGCCCCAGGCCAGGGCCTGGGTGGCGCTGGGTCTCCATACACCTATCTGACTCTATCTGACCTCCCTCGGCCTCCCAGTGACCCGAGCTGTGGGTGTGGAGCGCTGGCCAGATGGACAGGCTCCAGCTCTCCCTCCACTGGTTTCCAGGACAAGGGCACTTGGCCAAGGGGCTTCAGGGGAAGGGAGGGATTGGCCAAGAAACTCACGAAAATGATAGCGGGAGAGACAAAGCGCCAGCAGATCTGAAAGAAGAGGGGTGGTGGGAACCCCAGCATCATCTGGATGTCCTGGAAGTAGCTCCGGTGCCCTGGAGAGAGGGGAGGTCAGCAGGCCGGCAGGACAGAGTGGGCAGGCCAGGGGCGGGGACGCCCCAGAAGCTCAGGCACTTACCGTAAATGTACATGATGGACACACACATGATGCAGGAGATGACCACCAACGAGAAGCTGGCTGCGTAGTTGTCCATCAGCAGCAGCCAATAGATGCCTGCCTGTGGGCCAGCGGGCAGCTGAGCTGGGGCACCTGTGGCCTGGGCTCCCCCGCTGTTCCCCACATACCCCAGCAACTCCAGCCTGGCCTTGCCCTTGCCCGGTTCTTACCTGGCTGGTGAGAGGGATGCCCAGCAAAAAGCCAGCTACCGCCACGGCCAAGGTCACGTAGGTCTTTTTCTGCAGGATCCACTCATTCCCAACCTCATCCACAATGGCCGTGACCAGTGTCTCCAGGAGGCAGAACTACAGGATATGGCCATCAGCGCAGGGGCCTGACATTTGTCCCCATCCCAAGCCTCTGGTCCATGTCCCACACCTCGTACCTGAGTGCCCAGCCCCAGTAAGATGAGCATGAAGAAGAAGAGCAGGGACCACAGCGGGGAGATGGGAAGAAGCGTGAGGGCCTCGGGGTAAGCCACGAAGGCCAGGCCAGGGCCGTGGTCGGCTA